CAAATAATAAAAATAATAATAATAATAATAATAATAATAATAATAATAGTAAAAATACAAATACACATTTTTAATTAAATAATAACACTTAGCAAATTAGGCAATTAATTAATATTTAGACAATTTAGCAATTTGACAAATAAATCATATTAGACAATTAATAATTTATAGCATTCAATAGTAATAGCAACAACAAATAAATATAACTAATAATAATAATAAGGAAAAATTACACTTTGCCTACCGAACTATCCGCGTTTTTACACTTTGCCCACTCAACCTTTTCCGGTGACACTTTACCCCTTGAACTTCCAATATTCTTGCACTTAACGACTTTTCGGCCACCGGAGATGCAAAATCAAGGGCAAAGTGTAAAAACGCGAATAGTTCGGTAGGCAAAGTGTACTCGTGAAAGACGATTTGAGGTGTCCCTAAGGTGTAAATGACAATTTTGCAGACCATGGTCGTTGACACGTGTGGGGCATGTGGAGTCCCAGAGAGAGAGAGAGAGAGCTACAGTAGGGACCCTTAGGAGATTAGGAATATGGCTCCTTAATTATTTAGACTAACTGTGGGCCAAGCCCACTCCTCTAATTAATTAAATAATATTAATGGACCATCAATATTATATTATTGTACTCCCTTTTCCTAGCCCAAATTTTATTTGAGACTCCAATAATAATTACTCGATTTATCTCCCCACATTTAAGTATAATGTCCATTAATTAATTCGATTACTGACAATCATGAATTAATTAATTTATTATTGTTTAACCAAAGCTAGCGCTTTTTCATCACATTCTTATTATGCCGGAACTTAATCCACCTGCAGGGTTTAGCATAACAATCCTTCATGAACTTACTCCGTGGACATCATCAAACTAACGTACATCCTATATATATATATTAATATTACCAAAAACAGTAGGAATATTGATCCAGTGAACTGAACCTCACCCAAGTGAATCAAAGTAATATATACTATATATATCTGCCTGTTTAATATCTTACGGGTTAAGAGAACGCAATAATTAACCGAGGCCTAGTTCATTGACGATGATAAGTATAAAATGAACTTCTCCTCTCTGAGATCCTGTTCAATAGATAAATGTACTAGTGCAACTTATCAGTCAAGACAAATTGTACAGTTGACACTACAACCGTTAAGATGGGGTGTTCATGTCCATTTAGGTTGTGAACAACTATTCTTGTTCGCAAGTAACTGATAGAGTGATCTTCAATTCGTGTAATGACGACCCACCCTATCTAAGTGCAGAACAACAGAAAGTAGAACTTGTTTAATCTAACATGATTCTAATTCATAAAGGGCAAAAGTGTAATAACATGCAAAGCCAAGCTTTCAGTATATTACACTAACAGGCGTCACTACTCTTCGATGACTTACGACGTTTTGTCTTGGGGGGCTCCTGGGCGAGATGCTGAGATGAAGGGCGCTTGCTCTGGGTTCCCGAGGTAGGCTGCTCGCCATTGGGATTTGTCAAGTCGATAAGTGGATCGGTTGGCTGCGACGGTTGAAGCGGATTCTCGGCATGCTTCGGGGTGGCGAGGGCCACGCTGAAAATGCTTTCTGAAAGGGGAGAGCAATAACAAAATGAGCATGATTAACATGATAATAAAGGTGTGTAATTAAAACATGTTAAAGGGCAGTTAGCTCATAGCTGCGACACTTACCTACGTCGGCCACGGTTTCAGCCGGGTGATCGGACAATTTGAAGTGACGGTGTAAACGAATGTCAGAAGTTAGTTTCACGATGTGTAGAGGTTGGCAGTTCCACTCCCGGATGAGTGCATCATACACGGCGTTGGGACGAGGATTGTTACGCTGGCCGGGTAGCTCCTGGATCCATTCAGACGAAAAATCGAAGGTATTCGGGGGAGGGCGGACAAAGTAGAACTTGCTTTTCCAGTTATGAATTTTTGATTTTGGTTGGCTCAGAAAGTGGGCATTATGACGAGTAGATAAGTAGTAGGAGGTGCCGAGGGGCTTCATCCATAAGCAGTAAAAGCAGAGCTCGGGATCTAGTTTGCCTAGCCTAGCTCGGCATATCATAATGAAGCCTACTAGCATCATAATGGAGTTAGGCGAAAAGTGGTTTATGGGCAACCAATATAATCTGCTAAGCTCTATAAGGTCGTCGCGAATGGGAAATCTCCACCTGGTTGTGGCTTGGTCTAGGAAAAAGTTATAATAGTCTGGTGGAGGGTTAGTGTAGGTATTGTTTGGCCGAGGTATCTTGAGTTCCCAGCCTCAGGGAAGCTCGACCTCTTCAAAAATGTTTGCTATTCTATTAGTCGAATATGACGCAAGAACACCGAGGTGTGCCAAGCTTACTGTGGAGACGACACCCTTAGCCTTATTGGCCGCTTGGGCCGAGGTGGGAGTACCTTCACCTGTCGGCGCCCGTAAAGCTAGGGTCAGTGACAATTCACCTACAGAGTCTGGGTTTGAAGGGCAGTGTGAGTTCGAATTAGTTGAAGGGGCGAGGTATTCTAAATAACAAATGGGAGCATGTGAGGTTAAGCCAAGGATTACATACTGATGAACATAATGACAGTTATGGTGTTTAAAATGAAGAAAATGCTAGAAGTAAGGGAGAGATACATACCCATAAGAACGATTGATGTAGTCCTCGGAAGTGAAGATTATTGTCTTGCGCGAGCAGGGGGAACAGTTGCCGAATTTCTGGTTGATTAGTATGATAAATTACAAGTTCAGAGCAAAAGAGAATTACAAGTGATGAACTCGCTATTTTTACGCGGGGCTGTATGATTTCAATAGAGAAGGGAAAAGGTCAGCTAATCGTGGTCGTTCATTTAAGAACACACATGCGGTGGGCATTGATAGCGTTTGCAAGAAGACATGGGAATTCAAAGGTTGCCGCATCACGACCATTTATTTTAAAAGCGCATCAACGGCCATAATTAATAACGTGTGCCAAAAAGGCCTTGGGAGGTGAGGCGGTTCGGGTTCTGCTATCGAGGTCTGGTGATGTCAGCGATTAGGGCAATACGACGACACGCGCTGTTGGCGGGAAAACACAATCTCGCTAATATGACGAGTTCGTAAGTCTCGCCACTTGAGTATCAGCAAAGCTGAAGTAATTTCTTGGACGACTCGAGGTCTCTGATAGCTCGTCCTCGAAATTAAGGGGGCTAGATGATGTGGCAAAATGGAATGTGGCTCGTAGGGGATGGGGCCGAGATGGGAGTCAGGATCGGCATCTAGGCACTAGTGGATGGTTCTGACTGATGTAGGAGCTCGACTATCAAAAAGGTCGGCACGACTAAAATAACATAGAACAGTAATATTGATACGACATAAGGTTACAAGGAGTAAAAGGTCATTGGTGTAAGGAGGAGGACCAATTCGGCGCTGAACTCCAATATGTCAATGGTGTGGAGTGATGGTGGAGGAGCTCGGCAGGCGTGTACGGGTGTCTTAGAAACTGGAAGTTGTATCATGATGGCTGGGGAAGTGAGCTCGGCTAAGTAAATGATAGGGTCGGACTTGGATTAAGCTCGGCGATAATAAGGGCTATTATTATAGCTCGGATTAATGAGTGGGCTGGGGACCTCGTCTCGAAAGTAACCGAACTGATCAGTGGGGTGTTTGGCTATCGTGACGTGGCAATCCCGTGTGATTAGGGGAATATGTTCTCTATTTACTAGAGGATTTTGAGACAATGGGGATTCTAAGATTCCGAATAAGGTACATATCATTGAGAGATGGACGTGCGAGGGGTTCTCGAGCACAATAGAGGTCTTTTCAGACTCAACTACTCACGTTATATATATATATATATATATATATATATAGAGAGAGAGAGAGAGAGAGAGAAATGTTCAAATGATAATAAAAGATAATGAAAGAAATGAGAATAAACATGTGTCATTGGATCCAACATATAAAAGGTCACGATCAAGTCAAATTTATTAAATGGCAGTCAAAGATATGGTGGCCATTTCATAATAATTGTGCATATTGTGGTCAAACCTATACATTGTCTTCTCTCTCTCTCATGAACACATAGACTGTGTGCTACACCGGCAGACACCACGATCCCCGCCGAAACATCAATGGTCGCCACCATCAACCCGCCGGTAACGTTGTCGCTGCCGCCATACCTGCAGCCACTACAGTCTGCCACCGCCACACTGGAATTAACGGCGAGATCTAGCGCGTCACGTCGACGCAACGACCAACCAGATGCAACCACATCCTGTCGCAGCCGCCAGCAATCATCTGCCCCGCCATCGCCAGAAATCATCTTCCCCGCCACTGCCACCACACGACCTACAGCGTCGCCTCCGCCGCTAATTTCAGTCGAAGTCGTCGTCCGATCTCTCTTCTTACGATGCGTTTTACCATCTTCTCCAATCTCGCCAATCTCAGCGAGGACCCTGCATTTGTCCACTGTCATGCCGGTAATGGCGCTGGCGTGAATTGGCGACGGCGCCGGCGACCCGCTCTCTGAACATAATGAACTTTAAGAGCATCAACAATCAATTTGGTGGGTTTTTTATTTGAAAATTAGATAAACATTGGGACTTATTTGCAATTTTGTAAGTTTAAATATATTGCATATTAGTACATGAGATAAATATGTAATTTTATAAAATTCCAGTCATGCACAATAATAATACATAAAATGCACAATATTGTGTAAAAACAAACACATTAAGAAAACCGTCGTATTATTACCATTTTACAAAACTATTACCTCCTACGCATTTAATAGTTAAACAAATTTAGCAAAATTCCACCGCGTATAGGGAGGGTTCATCGGTCGGTAGGTCGAAGGAATCGATCGAAATCTCAAAAATTGAAATAATCAAGTCGCACTTTTGGAAAAAAACCGAACCTTTCGAATTTTTACTCAAACCTAACAACAACGAACAGAAAAGTAAAAAATCGATAATCAAAGTGATATTTAAAAAAAATCAAACCAAAATTTTTATCGAAACCGATTTCATTTTTTTTTTTCGATTATTGTCGTGTCTTGTACACCGCTACTTGCGCTCCATAAGCACAATAACGCCAAATAAAATGAACATTAATACATGCGTATATGCACAACATTATTTTTGTTAATGCAAATTAGAGTAACAAAGTGTAAAATCATAGTCATTATCATATTTAGTATTTTAATATTTTATATTATTTTATATAAATATAAAAAAATAACATTTCAAACCGAAATAACTGAGAACGTAAAAGTGATAATGTATAATCAATCCGACATAAAAAAACGAAATCTTTATCGCAACCAGTTTCCATTTTTTTTTCGGTATTGGTTAGGATTTTGCACATCCTTATTCTCACTACATAATGTACGATAACGATAAATTCAATGCATATTAGTACATGTGTCAATGCAAAATAGCGTGACAGAGTGACCGCATCTTCATTAATGTGCATATTTAGTATTTTTATATTTATTTTAATTTTTTATATTATTGTTTATAAAATATTAATATATATATATATATGTATATATATATATATATATCAATTCGAACAGATATAATAAAAAAATTTAAAAATAAAATTGATAGCCGAACCAACATAAAAAATAAACCAATATTTTTTATCTTGACCGAT